GCGCCTTGAAGATCAAGGGTCGTATGATATATTGATGAATGAATTTTCCTTACAATCTATCACTACTCCTAGGAAAGCAAGTAAATGTATTGAAAGTGCATTACAAGAAATGAAAGACAGGAAAATATAATTTGCTCTGTAGGAAGCTTTTGGTTTGGTGTTTGAACCCTTTGAATGTAGCTTGAACTTGGTTTTTATAGGAGAGGTCCTGGAGGGACAATCGAGGCTGAAAGATCTGCGTGGTGGAGCCTGATCAGAGCAAGTGGGTAGTCCAATTGGCATTTGGGATCGTGAAGCATGGTGGTGTGACCCCCATACCCCCATAAATCTCGGTAAATCTTGGCCACCGCCCTGATCGTGGGTTCTGCGCCTTTGGCCGTGGGAACGCATTTAATGCCCTGGTCTGGTGGTTGGTGATCTGACCTCTCAAGTTGTAAGAATATTTGTGAGAATGTTTGCGCCTAACCACTCTGATTTCCATCACCAAACCCTGACTTTAGTCACTTCCCATCTACCCCTGTGCATTAAATGCTTTTTTGCGGCTAGTGGGTTTGCTGCAATAGAGGCGTTACTTCATTAAATGAAGTGTGAGACCCTGTTGCCACGTGGCGATTTAACCTTAATATCTTCGGCCGTGTTTCTTACGCCCTTCGGCCTCGGCCTATAATACCGCGGTCGCAAGGCCAAGAGGATCCTGCCTTCCCAGCTTTTCTTTTGTTTTTAGGAGGGCAAATGCCTAACGAACTGCCACGTTTCAGTTCATGGGCTGGTGCGAGGGCCGAGAGGAAGTCCTTTTGGTCAGTTTTACAACCGAGATTTATTAGGCACAAACATTGCCCCCACATCCCCGGATTCTTCGGTCGCGGCATGGGTAGAGGCCGAATGGATTCTAGGGGATGGACCCTTCGCATTCCTTTTGAAGTGATTGACAGTTGGTGCCTTAAATGCACGAGTCGGTCGGCGTCTTCAAGACGCAAGCACGTCGTTTAGGCCATTATTGCCTTGATTCGCGTGAGCAGTCACTTTGTCTCGTCAATTGAAACGACGGCCTCTGGGGTTTCGACACATCATCGCACTAGAGTGCGTTGTCAGACCGTTACGTCTCTCTCGAGAGCCATGCCCTTTCGTTTCGTATTCGAGCGCCAATATAAAAGCCTATCCTTCTTCATTCCTTCCTTACGCTTTCAGAATTTTTAGACGCCCAAACTCTGCCAAACTCTTCTCTCAATCCTTCAACCCTTTTGAATTCCAAATCTCAGCACTCCATCTCTTTCTGCCCAGTTATTTCCTTGTTCGTAACCAATGACTTTAGTCGTTTCTTCTGCATTTCTCAGAAAACTCACGAACTCTTTGCCCCTTTTTCTGAGTTTTCGGGTCCCTGGTGTTCTTCGTGTTCATCACCCTCTTTTCGACTTTTTCCTTCAACACACCCTACTTCAATCTGTCTTAATGGCCTCCAGCACCTCTGCATCTGTTGAAGCTCGGTCCCAGGTCTTCCAGACTGGCTTCAAAGACATCTTCCGAGAAATCCAAGGCTCGGTTCTTCCTGACATCATCGCGCCTTGGCCCGATGATGACGGTGCTGCCAATGACTCTTGTCTCCTCGGCCCCTCTTTGGAAGGGGGCATGCTAGAGAGGCTGGCAGTCCACTTGAAGGACAACTTGGTGGATCTTTCCGCCTTTGATCAGGGAGATTACCAAGACTGGAATGTCATACGACCGCAGCAGCAATGGCCGACCTCGACTCCAGACTGGGAGAAGTGGCTGCCGAGGATGGAGCACTTCTTTGGCCAGCAATGGAGGGCTTAGGGGATCTACCACTTGATCCTCTTCGACCGGCCGATTGTCATGGATCGGTCACTTCTGGCCGCGGCTCTCAACTTTTGGTCATCGGCCACAAACACAATGAATCTGCTGTTCAGCATGATGACGCCGACCGTGCTTGATATGGCCGCTCTATTCGGCCTTTCTCCTCTCGGTGTGGAGGTGAGTGCCGCGCTGGTTGCTTCTGAGGCTGCAGGGAGTTTCACAGCCGCTTGGCCTACGATCACGAGGCTAGCTGGGAGCAAGGCGAAAAACATGCTCAACTACTCCAGCTTTTATAATAACTTCGGTGTAGAAGACAGCGCTGAAGATGACGCCATCGCCCCCCTCGGCGAAGTTGAGCACGCCGCATTCTTGCTATACTGGTTGTGCAAGTTTGGGTTTTGCACCCAGACGAACAAAGTTACCTTGGAGTTCGTCCATCTGGCCGATTATCTTGCGCAGGGCGGGAGGCTAGCGCTCGGCCCATTCCTTCTCGGCCATATCTACCGTACGCTTCACGACGTCGTTACTGATGGGATGAAGCCGAAGCACGGTGGCCCACTCTGGGCTTTCCAGTTCTGGCTCCAGGCCTACTTCCCAGAGCTGAGGGGTGCAGCCACGGTCACTGATACTGAGCCGCTGGCCAACGCCCTCGCCAGGGCCCCTAGGAAGCACAATGCAACGGCCTTCTGCTTCAAGTTTTTCTATGGGCTGACCGAGAGGACTGCGTCGCAGTTCCGTGTGTGCCTTGCTCGGCCGTTTCCCCTGTTCCTGGCGCACGACCTCTCCGTGATTCCTGATGGTGAAACGGAGAATGATCTTAGGGAGATCTCAGGCTCCTTCCTGGTCACGCGCGACCTTCACTGCGGCCTGTCCAAGGCCTGGGCTGAAGTTTATTTGCCGCATTGCGTGGCACGGCAATTCGGTCTGATTCATACGGTCCCGCTCTTCCCTCTGTCCACCAACCGGCTCTCGTCTTGGAGGGCCGATGTCCCCCAGAGCCATGGCGTGGCTGGGATCTCCTTCCAGCTTCAAAAGGGGATGACCTTCCTCACCCTGAGGCCGTGGATGCGTCGCAATGCGTTCGACGAAGATGGAAGGGTCTGGTATGAGGACTTTATTTCGGCAGATTTATTCGGCCCGTCCAAGAGGCCGTGAGGGGGGCTCTGAAGAATGCAGATAGGGACCCCCTCCCTCCTAAGACTGGTAAAGGGAAGAAGGCCTCAGCCGTGCTTTCTCGGCCGAGTGTCCCGGTTGCGGCCGTGTCCAGAATGACGGCCCTTCCTACGGCCGGAGTAATGGCCATGACTTCAACCGCGACCCCATCCTCCAGGGTGACGGCTGTGGTGGGGGCATGAAATACTTTGGCGCACAGGACCGTGCCATCCCCTTCGCCGGTTCGACCGAGCGCTGCTGTCGGTAAGTATTCTTCTTCCCATGTTCTTTCTTCGACCTCTCTGAGCTACGCTTAATTTTGTTTATTTTTATAGCTTCGAGCCGCAAAAGGAGCCGAGGAATTACGGCCACCGAGGCTCCTCATAAGGCGGAGGTAGCGGTAGCGCAGGCCGTAGAGGAGACGACTGAGGTGGCGGTCGTGGAGCCACCGAGGAAAAGGCTCCTATTTGTCCTTTCGGAGGACGAGGACGAGGAGGAAGTCCCTCCTGCGACCGTAAGTGAATCCCCTTGTTCCTTCTTCGCCCACTTTATGCCGTATCTCTGTACTAATGATTTGGTTCTCTTTTTAGGGCACGGTGGTGGATGCCAGAGTTGTTGCCAAGGAAGATATTCTTTCTCCAAAATGTAGAGATTGAGTCGATTAAGGATTTGATTGGGATCAAATCACTAATTGATGATAATATCCTAAATTGGTGATATTATCTTTTAATTGGTGATTATATTCCCAAATAAAGATAATATCCCTATTTTTAGTATCAATTAATTGGCCAAATAAATGGGCTAAATTATTGACCTAGGAGATATTCTTCTTGTTCACATGACACCTTGTGATTTGAAGCTAGTATATTTGCTCCAACAAATGCCCTCCAGCTTCTGCATGGCGCTTGTGAGGCATGGAGGAGATGAAAAATACTCTTCGGGCTTTCCAACTGCATCTGGGCTTTCTTCTTTGAGTTGGACTCCTTTTGCGAATTGTGCTCCAATTGGAGTAGGCTTTGGGTCGGGATCTAGTGAGAACGCCTATGTGAGAACATAACATGAGAACACCGTTGGATCTAATCTAATGGCTGTATGAAAAGCAATTGTAAGTGTAAGTGTTGTATTAGAACGAGGCCTTCTTCTGTCTTCTCCCTCCAAAACGTCCCCTCCAAAACAGACGTCCCCTCCAAAATAGAAGTGCCCTCCAAGCCAGCTGTTCGCTCAGTTCTATGTGGAGGCCATTTTTTTATCAGCTTTGATTGAGGAAGAACTGTAACAATGAAGAGAGAGAACCCCTGTTAATCGTTTTTCAGTTTGAGGAAGAAC